AGCTAGGATCATGTTTCTTATGCTGAATGCCAATGCTCACTTCTCAAATGTCAGAGTTGTTTAATTACTTTATTTCACCTTTTAATTTTTGAAAGTATTTAAAGTGTTGCCAAGGGGTTTTCAAGTGGAAAGGACAAGTCGGATTTGTGTTCATTCTGTTTTCTTTTGTTTGAATTAAGTAATGCCTATGTACCCTAGTCATACCTTATCATACCGTAAGTATACATACATTGGGTTAATATTATATGCTTGGTATATCAGACATCGCAAGAGGATGAGGGGCTTATAGTTGCATGTAGGAGGTACTTGCAGGCTAGATTCAATAAACAGGAGAAGCCTGGGAAGTCGGGAGACACCCTTGGTCAAAGTGGTAGGTAGCATTATCACTGACACTTATTTTCTGCAAACATGACTGTGGGAGGCAGCATTTTATTTGCTTTTATGAGTTCTTTTCTGACCTTTGCAGGCAGTTGAGCAACATATGAATGTTCACACAATCCACTTGTTATTTCAACAGCACTGAGGAAAAATAACAAGAAACATTAGCTAACATGTTTTAGATCAAATGCAGAATAGATTTATTGAGGGAGGTGCAGGGAAACTGTAGCTGCCTTTTGCCTTTAGTGTCATTCAGGATGGGGTGTGCCCATTGTCACGTGAAATGTCCCTTCTGTCCACCTGTGGCTGTGGGAGCTCTGAATTTAAGCAGTGATAAATGGTATTTTTAGTCCATGGATGACTATTACATGAAAAATAAAAATATACATATATAAATATAAAAATATGCGTACTTTTATTTTGTCCTTGAGTGTTCAAGGATTTCTTTTATTGTAGATCTGTTTACTGTAGCTTCCAGGTGGCACCTAACGAGATTTGGGCAGCGGTTTTCAGATCTGCACAGCTTACTAGCTGGGCAAAGGAACAATTTGTTTTTAAGGTAGGATAAACACAGAAGTTCAGTCACACTGATCCAATCAAACTTAATGGTTCAGGACCATCTTTAGATACAATGAGTGCTGAGACGGAAAAAAAAATTGCCAAGATCAGGTATTTCTAAGGCCACACAGCTGACTTCTCTTAGAAGGCTTTTGGTCATTCTGTGCAGGTCCTCCACAGCAGTGAGCTGTTAGGTCTTTATCTCTGCTCTTCTCTTTTCCAGGCTTTGTTCTCTATTCAGCATCTGCTTGCTGGTAGCAACATATGCCCACACTGCATTCTTCCTACTTGGAAATCTATGTCTGTTCAAGATAGAAAGCTTAAAAAAACTAAGAAATTAGGCTTGGAAATTAGAAGCTTCTTTAAGCATGTTAGACCTGGGTTTTGGGACATGTAGTTTTGGTTATTGATTTATTTTTAAGAATAATTGTAAAAGCACTCAAAAATCACTTGAAAAACATTTCTGTGATATAGGAAAGGGACTGTGCTGACTAGTCTTAAGGATAGCCTTCTCCTCCTCTCTTACCAAAGGCATGTGATAGTATGCATTTCAATAGAGTTGGTCTTTTTCAGTATGGCAAAACAGCAAGACCCTTAAGTCTATTAGGAAGAAATATAATTTTAGTCTACTAGTTATGCCAAATTTCAGAGATGATGGAGATATTTTTTAATAGGGTGGTGTGTGTGGAAAGAATAAACCGCCAATGACCAATGCAATCTCCACCTCTAATATATTTTGTAATTGAATCTTCAGGACTTTTTTTTTACTAGAGGCAATTTTGTATTTTGTTTACTAAAAATATCAGAGGGATTTGATGTGATCTGTGTAGCAGAACAGTATATAAATTTCCTAAAGGCCTGGGGATAGTGTTCTGCTGATGCTGCTGTTAGACAGTATGCGTAAAGGTGCATCTGCCATGGCTCTTTCACTGGCCCGTGGCTCTAGAGCTGCAGGGATGGAATAACAGCATTTTTTAGCACAGTGCTGCCATAAAAAAACCTTCTAGGCAAGGAGACTGTTGGTGGGAAGACAGGGACACATCTGTAAGTTCTCCAGTCTCATAGAACTCCAGTGAGCCTGGTACCAGAGCCATTGCTTCAGGCAGGTTTAATCATCTCTTCCACGCTGCTGAGTTCATCTTGGTGCGCTCCCGTGTGTTTGGTTACCCCAGCACGTACTCTTCCTGAGAGGTTACTGAGACTTTGGCCTTGTGCTTGGGACTCCAGGATGTCCTGCGGCCGGAGAAGAATTAGAGAAGCCCTCAATTTACACGTGGTTTAGCTGTAAGTGCAGAACAGGCACAAGGATAATGGCCCCCAGCAATAAGTGGTTATGAAGCTGTGACATGTTTTCGTCCTGTTTCAGTTTTAATTATATGGCTGCTTTGTTCTCAAGTGGATTGCATTGTGTCAGGACTGTTAGACTTTGTTTACTCCCTAGTGCTTATAAAATGGGGCAGGCTCTCTGTGGCTTCTTATCTTGCTTAATTTTCTGCGCATTTCTGCCCTCCATTTCCAGATGGAAATTTCAGTATCAAACTGGGAGGAGTTTAAGGCGTCAGGTGCCCTGTTCTTCCTCTTTTCTGTGAGACAGCCCTTCTTTACTCCCTGCAGGGGAGCACCCACTCTCTGCCTGGTCCTTGCCACAAGGACAGATGGGTTATTCCTTTTCACACTACAACACTTGATAAAATTCTTTAGTTAAAAGCCTGGGCTGTGAGGTGGCAGCTGACCTCTTGCTCCAGCTGCAGGTGGCCGGTGGGTCGGGCTGCCAGGGAAGCTGACCCCTGGGCTGATTTCAGTGAACAGGAGGGGGTAGATTTCAGTGTGGATGCTGGGCTTTCAGGTGCCCCAATTTCCTCTGTAATTAGATTAATTTTAGCCTCAGGGCCTCTGCATGCCCCTTCCCTCTGAAGGTAAAGTTTAATATCTGTACCCATCCCCAGTGTGTTCTGGGGAAAAAAAGAAGTTGGAGGAAAATAAAGTGATTACTTTGGCATGGGGACCTACAGTTCATTTTTCTTGAGCAGTCCTCTTTTTGGTGTAACATTGCTTTGGCTTTAGTAGAATAGTATTTATTACAATTAATTATGTTTAAACGGGCCACGTGGCTTTTGGAGTGGTAGTGGGCACACTGCACTGCAGGGATGGAAACATATGGCAGCGTCCCCTGGGGGGGAAAAAAATCTCTCTACGCAGCTCGGGAGGAGACGATTCAGCTGACATCCTGGCTGTTGAGATCTTGGGGATTTACAACTTATTCCTGTAAGCAACTTTGAATTTGACCCATGATGGGGCCAAGCTTGCCTCCCCAAATTTACCTGTTTTTGTTAGCTGTACACAGATTGATCGTTTTGCCTTGATGCAGTACTTGTAGAGCTGTAATTACAAGTGAGTGCTTACAGCATTGGTAGTTTTGGAGAGCAATGTATGTGGGTTTTTTGCAGGTAATAAAATGGAAAATCCAATTTGCAACTGCAAAGCAGGCCCGTGAGTGATACATGATCTTCATAGCAGCACCGGCCAGAGGGTTATGGCTAATCACAGTGCTGGCCTGCTTCCCCAGAGGCCTTGGCCTGAGAACTGAGTAGCGAGCAGCGTGAGCCCACGCCTTGAGCCAGCACAGATTTAGACACACCAGTTTCTAGCTTATTAGCTCCTCTTTGTCACAGTACTTAATCCTGCTTCCTGACCCTTGTTAGAACAGGGCTGCTGAGTCCCTTAATAAAGGAGAGGGGTGCGAGGCTCCTAACGAGGCGCGCTGAAGCGTGAGGCAGCGAAGGCGATTGCCGCCTGACTGACAGGGAGGTGAAATGCTCCCTGACTGCTGTTATTTCAAAAGAACAGGCCTCAGACAGCTGACAGATGAGCTTGCTAAGGTAATGGTAACTTGTTGATAGGCTGATATGAGATGCATGACATCTTTTCACATGGTATAATGGTCTGCTTTTACTCTAATTGTGTTAACCCTTTTTGCAAAGTGAAATGCCTCGAGGATTAGCTGTAATGTAAAACATGCACCAGAATGGCCAGCGAGCACACGGCTGGCAGCAGCTCCCGCAGCATGCATGTGTGTTCTCGTTACTTACACAAGTGCCTTTAATCTTGAAACGCTAGCACATGAGGTTGATTTCAGATTTCTCTGACAGCTTGGTTCAGTCAGTCTTCAAAACCTTGTAGGGTTTTTTCACATAGTTAAAGATTTTTTTTTTTTATTTCTTACTTTAGATTTCTGGGGGGAGGGTACGCCTCTCTTCATCATAAAATTCACAAAAATAAATGTAAAATAGTAGCACTGGTTTCTTATTTTAATTTAAAGAACACAACAAAATATTTCAATGGCTAGACTGTCCTGGAATTTGACCTGTTGTATCCATAGTCATGAGGAGTTTCGGTAGAGCACGTACTATTTGGGTTTTGTGTGGTAAACATTTACAAACAAAAACCCCAAGCAAACCCCTAATAGGTCTCTTAAGTCTTCCTGTCAACTGAACAGGTAAAACTGGCGTGTTGAAAGAATGATGCTTTTTCCTTGTTTTTCTTAGTGTAGAGAACTGTAACCACAGATCAGTGGTAGGATCTTGGTAAACATACCATGTTGGGCACTGGGAAGGCAAAAAGCCTGTTGGGCATCTCTTGTTGACATTATGTGTGGTGCAGTGATTGAGAAATGCTTTGTAATGCTAAGCTTCAGCAGAGCAAACTCCTACCATAGCGTGATTCTCCTTTCATTGCTACAAGCCATGGTGGAGAGGGTCCAGCACCAATGCACTATTCAGGCGTGCTTAAAACTAATTTCGTGAATAAATATTATATGCCAGTGGGCCAGATTCAGTCCTGCTGTGCAATATGTAGTAGCACTGAAATGAATAGTGTGGAACTGCATCCATCATGGTGGGAGCTACTATGTCCTCCTTTTCTTCTCCACTAAGACTAAAGTGATTTGCTTTTATTATGGTTGTACTCTGAAATGAATGAAAAGTTTTCTATTCACAGCAAGATTTTTTTTCAAATTTTTCATATTTGAAATATTTTCATATGATGTTGTGTTTAATCCCTTCCAGGTAATTTGGATTTGACTGGTCAAAAGCAAGTCTTCAAAGCAGAGAACAATCCTTGGGTTACCCCTATTGCTGATCAGTTCCAGCTGGGAGTATCTCATGTTTTTGAATACATTCGTTCAGAAACATATAAATAGTAAGTATTGCACGTCACTTACATACTGTAGCTGTGCTGGGTTTTTTTCCTGTAGCGTGTTTGGCGAAGTGTTATCAGCTACACCCTTCTTTCGCAGTCTATGCAGTACCTTGGTATTCAGGGCAAATACACAAACCTGTACATTTGTATTAAGGAATTTTGCTGACAAGAAGGTAAATAAATGTGATTTAAGCAAGTTAGGAAAGCACAAAGACTATTTGATACTGGCTTACATTTGTTCATTTTTAAGAGCTATTAGGTAACATAAGAGATGTAAAGCAGGTATTACAAGCTTTTGACAAGTACTAATTGTAATTATGTACAGTAAGGTTTTATTGATTGAAATAGCTATTTCTTAATATGTTTGGATGCGGGTTGTTATGTTTTGAAAAACTTCCAGAATCAAACCTGTTTTGATCTGGACTGGTTTACGAAGTCTACAACCCTGGTAATTCGAATACGGATACTAGTGCTTTCTTCAACAGTGTAACTGGAAAAAAAAAAAACACGTCATGCTGGGACTTGTCCATTTTAATTAAAAATTTTATATACAGATGCTAAACTTTTATTTAGGAAATAATGTCTTTAATCATTCACTGAATTGAAACATTTCTTTTCAGTAAAAATTCTATGTTACCAGTCTACAGTAAAACTTTAGATGGGAAGTTATTTTTATGTGTCTGACAACAAACTTGATGCTGTGTTCTTAGAAGCAGTAGCTAGTACAACACACAGTGCAGCCTCTAGGTTGGAAAGTTAGCTTTTGCATTTTTTTTTCATTTCCCTTTTATTTTAAAAAAAGTTTAATAATTTAGAAGCATTTCTGACAATTTTTTGTATGCTAGCTGTCTGAACTTAATTACTAAAGGAAAGTATTCACAAGTGAAGGTTTTGGTATTCCAATTAAGTAACCGAGATGTAAATTTCTGTATGAAACTAAATGATCCAGCAGTGGCTTTTATAGGCTGTTCTTCATTTACAGAATTCAAGTGAAAGGGATCACAGATAGGAGAGTTGTTACAAAAATTGTGTGTTTCATTACAGCATAAATATCAGGACAGTTCTATGTGTTCTCAAGATAGATTTATTAATGGATTTAAGTAGGCTGCAACACCCTTCTTCCAGTGGTACTCTGTACTACAGACGTGGGGTAGGGAACCAGCTGTCTGTCTCCTTAGACCGTCCCTTCCCCACAGTCCATTGTGTACCTGCGTCTAGGTTTCTTGATAATGTTTTGTAGGTGGTTTTTTTTTTTTTATTGCCAATTTTATATTTCTGTTTGCTGAGCAGTGTAGATTAGGGACCTTCATGCAGTTCTCACAGGGACCACCCTGGGCATAGAATCATAGAATGGTTTGGGTT